CAGTACAAATGCTATTACCCCAAGCTTTGTTCTTCTAAAAGGTCTATCTTGGATTGAAGTGTCAGCTTGATCTGGTTGTCTAACAGGAACACTTGGCATACTTGTTCCCCTTCCCCTGCCTCGAACTCTTATTGCCCTTCCCCTGCCTCTAGCTTGTTCCTTGACCAAAAAATTAAAACAAAATTTTATAACAAATAAAGGACCAACTTGCACCTTCAACAAAGTTCATATCAATAGACATAATCACAAACTTCATACCTGTCTTCCGCCTCTTTCTCCAGTATGACCTTCAGCTCCACAAGTTGCAGAATTGTGACCTTCACCTCCACAAGATTTACAAGAAATGACAATCTCATATCTCTTCAGCTTTGTTGCATTTTTTGGTATCTAATCAGGTTCCTTTTGCCTACTTGTTCTAGGTCTTCCCGGTTGTTTGTGGTAAAGAGGTGGCTTGATGGGTCTATGGCCTGTTTTTCTCCAGTATTCTTGACTAGGCATTGGAGATATATAACTCTCATAAGCCCTGTCATATGCACCTCTTTTGTAAAGTGAATGCAGAAAGTCATAAGGGCTCTTCTCTGTTTTGGCAATTGCAGCCATAGAATGTGAACAAGGGATTCCACATAAGTCCCACTTTCTGCAAGTGCAGGTGTGCCTCTCCAAATCCACTACATACATTCCACCATGGATGTTATTAACTTGATATTTCTCCCCACCAGCATATGATGCTATGCATTGAGCACTCTCAGTTGTTAGCTTCTCAACAATTCCAAAAATTCTAGGACCAACATCATGTGTCCAAACAGTTTCTCTAAGTCTAGCCATTCTTAGCATCAAATAACTTCGAATTCTCTCTAGGAGTGTCAGAATAGGCTTATCCCTTGCTTCAATAATAGCTGAGTTAAAAGACTCACACAAGTTGTTAAGAATCATATCACACTTAAAATGAGTACTGAAGTGTGACCTACTCCAATGATATGCTGGCTTTTCCTGAAGCCATCTGTAAGCTGCATCTGATTGAGATAACATCTTCTCCATTTTAGCTTCAAATGTGGGTATTGTAGTTGATCTAGCTGCTGCCCACAATCTTTGCTTCAATGCTAGTCCACTGTGACCAGCAATCTTGAAATTATTGTGGAGGTGTCTAACACAATGCCTGTGTTCAGCAGTGGGATCAAATCCCTAATGGCTTGCCCCAAACCCTTTTGCTTATCTGACATGAACACCCAACCATTACCATTTTCACACCCAACATCAGCAAAGAAAATCTCCATAAACCATGTCCAAGTCTCGGTATTTTCTACTTCAACCACAGCAAAGGCGATAGGGTACATCCCATTATTCGCATCAATACCAACTGCAGATAAAATCTGTCCTGGATGAGTTCCCTTCACATGACAACCATCGAAACCTACAACTGGCCTGCATCCTGCAATAAAGCCCTTCTTTAATGCTCCAAAACATATATATATTCTTTTAAATACTGGGTTGTCCCCCACGCAAATCAGTCTTGATTAATACAGTGCTGCCTGGATTGTTTGTCTTCAACTCTTCACAGTAATCCGACAATTTTGCGTACTGTTCTTCAATACTTCCATGTATTCTCTCTCTAGCTATGCTCTTGGCTTTGTAAAACTGGTTTGCAGTGATATCTATGCCATAATTCTTCCTCACAATCTTCATGAAATCCGTCACAGACATATTAGGATTATCTCTCAAATCCTCATCAAACCTTTGAGCAAGCCAAGAAAAAGTGGCAAACTTGGTCTTCTGCATCCTTCCACATGAATGCTTTGGTTGATATGTCTTGATCATAGTAGTAGGCCCTTTGCTCATATAAGATGCATATAGCAGAATCACACTTGAAATCCCTCTTTTCTTTACCTTTTTCTTTGCCCTTTTCTCCACCATTTTCTCCATTTTCTTCTCCACCATCATCTTCAGCACTTTGTACACTTTTTTTTTTCTTTTTTTTCTGCATTTCTTTTTCCTAAACCCTTTTTTTCAGCCTTTCCTCCACTTCCACACACCACCCTAACCCTGTGAGTGTCATTCTTCACCCATCTCAATGGCCTAGCACTTGAAACTGCATAGAATCTTATGGCCTCCCGACATTGTTCCATGTTAGCAAACTCCATGCCAATATGAAATACTGGATTAAATAAATCAGTATCCTTTTTGAATTGCTTGAACCTAGGAGCTTTTAGTCTACGACTAACCTTTTTCACACCCGAATTTTCATCAACTTCATCTTCCTCTTCTGAAACACTTAGAAGGTCCTCTGAATTGTAGTCATCACTTGGAACTTCACCAAGTTCTCTCTGTGGTTCTTCAGCAGCTTCCTCCTCTACATGCGTATCAAACCACCTGTCATCTTCTGCTCCCTTTTGTCTCTCTTGTTCTTCATCTGTTTGCTCATAGTCACTATCTATTAACTGCAGGCGCTCTTCGTCATCATCCTCTGCATCATCATTTACAGCTTCTTCCTCATCATCCTCTGCATCAACATTTACAGCTTCTTCCTCATCTACCTGCTGCTCCTCATCTTCCTCTTCAGCTTCATCATCGGCATCATCAGCAATGTTCACATCATCTTGTACATGTACATGTATCAATTCTGGTTGAAGAAAATTCTGAAAGTTAAATACATCTGCTGAGGCTTCAGTATCTCTCTGTGGTTCTGGCTTTTCTGTGATGTACAAACCGTGAACCCTTGATGTAGGTATCTCACGCACAAAATCAAGCACATCCAAGTCTCCTCGAATTGCCACATAACAATGTTGTGGACCTATAGCGATAATCGACTTTTATGTGGTTGTATCCTAGTGATTCAGCAACATCATATAAGTCCAGCATTGACAACTGATCTGTATTACAGTTGTCTGCCCATTGGACAGTACCTCCCACATACTTTCCCTTTTTAAAATACCCTCCATGGTGAATTTCAATTGTAAACAACTCTGGATCACCTACAAACAACAAATAATTAACTAAACAACTTCAATTTACTACAACAAACGTACCAATCGGCACCAGCCTTTACTAACATCAGCCACACACAGACAAACCAACGCACATGCTTTACTTTGGGACCACACTTTTCTATTCAAAAAGGAATCTTACAGCAAGGCAAGAAGATGGAAAAATCCAATTCTACCGACAACCTATGGACCACAACCAATTAAACAATGAAAAGAAAGGGAAAGTTGAAGACTTACTATACTTGGGAGGCTGCCCACTACTCCGTACTTCGACAGGCATCTTTCTTGGTCAATACAGGTGTGTTGCTTCAAGATTTGTATGACAACCTCATCGATTTGTCAACGTCAGCCACTATGCAGGTCGATTTCGTGAAAGCGAGGTACAAGTTCAGGGGGTATTTCACCAGTATACCCTAAATTATAATAATTTAGAATATTATCGATTCTTCAAAACAAAAAAATAAAATATTAGACATGGGCATAGAAGTTCTTTTGGGCTTATCTTAGAAGGTTCTTCGAAGTGGCCCAAATCCAACTGGTCATATGCAACAAGTAGCTGAAGTAACTGTAACCAAGCAAAGCTCTCCTCTAGGATAATATGTCGAAGACAGGTGAGGTCGTATGCATTACCGGTGGAAGTGGCTGTATTGGATCATGGATCGTCCGCCTCCTCCTCGACCGTAATTACACCGTCCATGCCACCGTCAAAGATCTCAGTTAGTTTACCCTTTGCCTTTTCCATTTATCTACACAACTGCCATTTCCTTGCTGTTCAGTCTGAAACGTCGTCGTGTCGTTTTTGTTGCAGAGGACGAGGGTGAGACGAAGCATCTAGAAGCCCTAGAAGGAGCAGCGACGCGTCTCCGTCTCTTCCAGATCGACCTCCTCGACTACAACTCCATCTTCGCCGCCATCAATGGCTGCTCCGGCGTCTTCCACCTCGCCTCTCCTAACATCATCGATCAAGTCCAAGACCCCGAGGTTGCTTCATCTTGACAAAAACGCCATAAAAGAAGCTCAATTCTTTCTAATTATGATTATATTTAGATGAAATTGTTGTGCTTTTTGTTATACAGAAGGAGCTGTTGCACCTAGAAGTAGATTGTTGACTCCATCCAATTCTCATATGGGCAGTCTTATTTGAATACTCTATTATTCTGTAATGTTCTGTTGCCTGATAGTTTGCCATGTTATGTTGCCAAATTGTCGATCGAAATCATACATTCAGACGTAGTTTTGCATTTGATTGACAGTTTGTTTGATAACATAACATCTGTATAGTAAGAGAACATTTCCCATTTATTTGGTAACATGAGACTAAGGTGACCAAGTTCTTATTGAGGCTGTAGTTGGTAGATGAACCAGGAAGCAGGTGGACATTATATATTTTCTGAAAAGACATTTCTGCTAAAGAAAGGTTTGAGTTTGGTATTTAAAATCTTGAAGTATTTCTTCATTTATAATACTTGAGTTTGTTTGAAGTTTTTTGCCTAGTTAGTCCCCAAGTTTGGAGAAGGTGGATTGTGTGAGAATGAGTGTGTGTGGCAATAGAGGAATCCTTTTGCACCTCTTTGCTAGCAAGCAAATACTTGGCTCCTTCTTTCCTGCAAATCACCCTTTCACATGTGTGCATAATTTTTTTTTTTCTTTTCTTTCTTTTGAGCGTTTAATGAGTTATCTTTGCAGTGAAGCTGTGATTTGTAAGTACAGAGGACTGGCTTCATCCAGATAAGGAGCCAAGCAGAGTTCCTGCTAGCATATGTTTCTCTTCAAGTTTGATAGTTTATGTCATTAAAGGGTCGGTTTTTGGTTTCCTTAAATTGTCTATCCATGTCACCTTATCTCTTCTCCTGGTTAGCGGAGGACTGGACAGAAGGTTAATGGCCCTAGAAGCTTCATGGCTGAAGTAACAAGGAAAATCGATCAACCTGAAAAAGAAAAAGAATTGACAATATCCTTTTCAATCTTTTCTGCAGGCTGCATTGAAACATACGAGAACATCTTTATGGGATCTGTGCATTTTAAAGATGTAGCTCTTGCACACATTTTATTGTATGAGAACAAATCGGCCACTGGTAGGCACCTGTGCGTTGAAGCTATATCACATTATGGTGACTTCGTGGCTAAGGTAGCTGAACTTTACCCCGAGTACAAGGTTCCGAGGTAAATTCCAGTCCTTAGACTCCGGTAAAGTGGTTTTGCAACTGACACTATGTGCGTATATATATATTTTGCCATAACTATGTGCATATATATTTTTTTTGGCCATAACTATGTGCATATTTTATGTTTAGGAGTTTGGTTTCCTGATAACAACAATAAGCATCAGAACGTCAAATATGCAGTATCATGAAACTGATACCCTATGTTATAATTGATAGCAAAACAACAGATGATCAAGCTCAACCTCATCATAACACAGCTACAGCTCTCTGTACTGAATTATGTTCTCCCAAATGGTTCTAACTGATTGTATTTAGTTAGACAGGTTGAGTGATTTTAGGGATTAGTCTGTAACTGTATTGCTAAAGCTTACTATAAGTACTTGTAAATCCTTCTCCAAAAATTAATGAGAAAAAATCTGTTATTTTACAATAATTACTGTCAAGACATCAAATGGTTCATTGCAGCTTCTTTAACTGCCAGCATTCCTTTTACAGTCATTCCATGAACATATGGCTTTGAAATTGCTCAAGCTATTAATACGTTTATTATTGTGCAGTTTGCCGAAGGATACCCAACCCGGGTTGCTGAGGGAAAAAAATGGCGCGAAGAAGCTAATGAACTTGGGTTTAGACTTCATTCCCATGGATCAAATCATCAAGGATGCTGTTGAGAGCCTAAAGAATAAGGGATTTATTTCATAAACGAAACTGAAGGATATGAAACTTAAGAAGAACCTACTTATTGTAGATGTGGCGAGGACGTGCAGCCTAAATGATATAGTTAATGGATTGTGTTTAATACTATGTACCAGCCATACCTCCATGCAATCTGTATGTGAATAAATAAGCAACATTTGAATGTTCATAATATATTCTGCTGTGATATTTGCTTAAAATTAAAAGTTAACATAGTCCCAAGCTCAATTCTCATTTACTGGCTCAAGGTGCAGCGGATGGGGAAAAGCTACAATTTTTATTTATTTTCGTATTCACAAACATTAAGCTAATAAGGCAAAGGCATTAAGTTCGTCATACTTGTAACTCAAACGATTATGAGCGCAAACTCAAGCCATTACGAGTGCAAAGACATTTTATAATAAGTTACAATAATTTAAAAAGAAGAGGTTGCATACCTTTATAATTTCTCTCTTATCATAGTTAGAATCTGAAGTTCATATCTATAACCAAATTCAGCTTCTTAATCCTGTTTTGTCGCTACTTAAGAAGCAAATAGGAAACTATAAACCATTTAGAGTGTTGGTTCACTTTAATTGGTTGAACACTTCCTTGTCCTGGGCTAGATAGGGTATAGAGGGCAGTCATTGAGTAAGTCGCAATATTGCTTCTTATGGTGAACTCCCTGTAAATTTTGTTGGGTTGGGGATGTTCAAGTTTCCGAAGCATAGATCAAATTGCCAGTATTAAACAGCACCATGCATACAAACAAGGATACAACAAGAGAAGGAACACACCTAAGCCAGAACCAGCTTACCATGCATACTTTTTGGTTGCACATGTTGTGTCATATCCTGGGATCAGCTCCGCCGTAGTACGATATTGTCCGCTTTGGGCCCCCCTCTTTGCCCTCACGGCTTTGTTTCTGGGAACTCACAAACAATTTCCTAGTGGGTCACCCATCCTGGGATTGCTCTAGCCCCAACTCGCTTAACTTCAGAGTTCCCATGAATCCGAAGTCAGTGAGCTCCCAAAAGGCCTCGTGTTAGATGGAGGCGGGCATGTACATATAAGACACATCACCCCCTCTCCGTTGGTCGATGTGGGATGTTACATGTTGGCTGCCAAAGGAAAGAAACACTCCAAAAAGACACACAGACAAACCTTTAGAAGACGAGTGGCATCATCACCTTCTTCACCTACCGAAGGAAGGCCCCCTTCAGAAGCGGTAACCACCTGCCGAAACTCCCAACTACATAACCTAGAGCCATGGACACGTGTCGCCTCTACAACAGTTTGCATAAAGTCCGACATCGAAACTTTGTGCAAAACTCTCATTTTCATTTCCCTACAAATAGGGAACAATGCTCGAGTAAAAGGGTAACTACTTTTTCATCTTTACTGTTACTCTGTCAAAATTACCACATATAGTTGACTTAAGCATTGGAGAGCCTTGCCGATACCACAACGATTCCCGAAGCTTGACGATCGCTTCTTCCTTGCTTCCTTCTGCAGGATCCCTATGTACCGAAAGTCCACAACCTTCTTCCCCAACTGAAGATCCAGCACTCATTCACCTAAGTTGACCCTCCCAAAAAGAGCATCAATATGTTTTATTTTTTTCAATTATTAGGTCTCACTGAAAGATAAGTGATATAACATGGATGAAAGGATGAGTAAACAATACAAGTACCGCCCCGAGTGGTTAAAAATTTGACCCTTGTTGGAATTGTTCTCATTATGGTCCTGCTATCTGTGAAATTTCCTTCGTTGCATATCAATCTCAAGTTCTTACAATTTTCTTGTTGTGCTGTTTTAGGCGGTCCACAAGTAGCCAGGCATCATCACCTTCTTCACCTACCGAAGGAAGGCCCCCTTCAGAAGCGGTAACCACCTGCCGAAACTCCCAACTACATAACCTAGAGCCATGGACACGTGTCGCCTCTACAACAGTTTGCATAAAGTCCGACATCGAAACTTTGTGCAAAACTCTCATTTTCATTTCCCTACAAATAGGGAACAATGCCCGAGTAAAAGGGTAACTACTTTTTCATCTTTACTGTTACTCTGTCAAAATTACCACATATAGTTGACTTAAGCATTGGAGAGCCTTGCCGATACCACAACGATTCCCGAAGCTTGACGATCGCTTCTTCCTTGCTTCCTTCTGCAGGATCCCTATGTACCGAAAGTCCACAACCTTCTTCCCCAACTGAAGATCCAGCACTCATTCACCTAAGTTGACCCTCCCAAAAAGAGCATCAATATGTTTTATTTTTTTCAATTATTAGGTCTCACTGAAAGATAAGTGATATAACATGGATGAAAGGATGAGTAAACAATACAAGTACCGCCCCGAGTGGTTAAAAATTTGACCCTTGTTGGAATTGTTCTCATTATGGTCCTGCTATCTGTGAAATTTCCTTCGTTGCATATCAATCTCAAGTTCTTACAATTTTCTTGTTGTGCTGTTTTAGGCGGTCCACAAGCAGCCTGTGTTGGTTGTGCTGGTTTTGCTGCATTTTCAGTGCTGATAGAGAAGTTTTTGGATAGACATGATTGAATTTGAGGGCATTGCTATGTTGCCCCATTTTTGCAGACTAAAAGTACGACAAATCAGTAGAAGAGAAATAGCATCTTGGCCTGCAGTAATACATATGTTTTTGCTTAGATTCAACTTTAGCCCTTGTTATTATTATTTATCCTCGCTTATAAAGGGATGAACCAGCTAAATTACAAAGCCAATCATTTTGTATTATGTTATTCTGTTGACTGCAGTTCCAGTTTCATAATTTCAACAGAGGATATGTAACAGAGGAAATTGAATGGATTATAGAGAATGTTTGCTGCAAGATTCAAATAAATACGTAGAAGGGAATTTCTTGTTCCATTGTCGTATTAATACCACAATACAATACTAGACTGGTAATGGTAATGAATTTTTTTTCTCTGATTTATGAGGGAGGGCATTCAAACTTGAGATTTATTCTTTCCATTGGAAGATAATAAGTGATTATTGCGAGAGACAATTTATGTCTTTGATAGGAAAAACTCGGGTGAGAATTTCCTTATCACATGGCAGGATGAATGTCAAGCACTGACCAGTTATAACATAACATGTGTTTATAACACACACTATGGCACGTGACAGGGAAGATCCACCATATCAATAATTGAGAGTCACTCGCATGCACAAGTAATTGAATTTTTACCGTGAAAGTAAATTTTCTTATTCTAAAAAGAAATCACTGTCAAATTGAATTTTAGGCGCAATAGTGGATCATGATAATGTGTCCACCTCTTGACATACGAGTTTGAATCCTCTCTTCATAAATTAGAGTAATTTAGAATATTATCGATTCTTCAAAATAAAAAATAAAATATTAGACATGGGCATCGAAGTTCTTCTGGGCTTGTATTAGAAGGTTCTCCGACGTGGCCCAAATCCAACTGGTCACCAGCAGCAAGTAGCTGAAGTAACTGTAACCAAGCAAAGCTCTCCTCTAGGAAGAGGTACTAACTAGGATAATATGTCGAAGACAGGTGAGGTCGTATGCGTTACCGGTGGAAGTGGCTGTATTGGATCATGGGTCGTCCGCCTCCTCCTCGACCGTAATTACACCGTCCATGCCACCGTCAAAGATCTCAGTTAGTTTACCCTTTGCCTTTTCCATTTATCTACACAACTGCCATTTCCTTGCTGTTCAGTCTGAAACGTCGTCGTGTCGTTTTTGTTGCAGAGGACGAGGGTGAGACGAAGCATCTAGAAGCCCTAGAAGGAGCAGCGACGCGTCTCCGTCTCTTCCAGATCGACCTCCTCGACTACAACTCCATCTTCGCCGCCATCAATGGCTGCTCCGGCGTCTTCCACCTCGCCTCTCCTTGCATCGTCGATCAAGTCCAAGAACCCGAGGTTGCTTCTTCTTCACAAAAACGCCATAAAAGAAGCTCAATTCTTTCTAATTATGATTATATTTAGATGAAATTGTTGTGCTTTTTGTTATACAGAAGGAGCTTCTGGACCCGGCGATCAAAGGAACGCTTAATGTTCTGACGGCAGCGAAGCAGGCTGGGGTCATTCGAGTGGTGCTGACATCCTCCGTCTCCGCCATCACTCCCAGCCCTCACTGGCCTTCCGATAAGATCAAGGGTGAGGATTGCTGGACCGACATTGACTACTGCAAGCAGAAGGGAGTGAGTTACTGAGTGCCTAAGTTCTTTGTTATTGTAGTTTGAAATTTTGAAAATTGGGGACTGTGATGTGATGCTGATTGTGTTTGATGTTTGGTTAGTTGTGGTATCCATTGTCGAAAACTTTGGCAGAGAAAGCTGCGTGGGAATTTGCCAAGGAGAAGGGATTGGATGTGGTTGTGGTGAATCCTGGCACCGTGATGGGCGATGTCATTTCGCCCAGGCTCAATGCTAGCATGGTGATGCTAGTGCGCCTTCTTGAGGGTATTGTTCTCTGCACATTTGTGTTTGAATATCTTCTAGCGTTGCACCTAGAAGTAGATTGTTGACTCCATCCAATTCTCATATGGGCAGTCTTATTTGAATACTCTATTATTGTGTAATGTTCTGTTGCCTGATAGTTTGCCATGTTATGTTGCCAAATTGTCGATCGAAATCATACATTCAGACATAGTTTTGCATTTCATTGACAGTTTGTTTGATAACATAACATCTGTATGGTAAGAGAACATTTCCCATTTATTTGGTAACATGAGACTAAGGTGACCAAGTTCTTATTGAGGCTGTAGTTGGTAGATGAACCAGGAAGCAGGTGGACATTATATATTGTCTGAAAAGACATTTCTGCTAAAGAAAGGTTTGAGTTTGGTATTTAAAATCTTGAAGTATTTCGTCATTTATAATACTTGAGTTTGTTTGAAGTTTTTTGCCTGGTTAGTCCCCAAGTTTGGAGAAGGTGGATTGTGTGAGAATGAGTGTGTGTGGCAATAGAGGAATCCTTTTGCATCTCTTTGCTAGCAATCTAATACTTGGCTCCTTCTTTCCTGCAAATCTGCCTTTCACATGTGTGCAGAATAAATAAAAAATTTCTTTCTTTTGAGCGTTTAATGAGTTATCTTTGCACACATGTGAAGCTGTGATTTGCAAGTACAGAGGACTGGCTTCGTCCAGATAAGGAGCCAAGCAGAGTTCCTGCTAGCATATGTTTCTCTTTAAGTTTGATAGTTTATGTCATTAAAGGGTCGGTTTTTGGTTTCCTTAAATTGTCTATCCATGTCACCTTATCTCTTCTCCTGGTTAGTGGAGGACTGGACAGAAGTGTAGTGGCCCTAGAAGTATCGTGGCTGAAGTAACAAGGAAAATCGATCAACCTGAAAAAGAAAAAGAACTGACAATATCCTTGTCAATCTTTGCTGCAGGCTGCACTGAAACATACGAGAACTTCTTTATGGGATCTGTGCATTTTAAAGATGTAGCTCTTGCACACATTTTAGTGTATGAGAACAAATCGGCCACTGGTAGGCACATGTGTCTTGAAGCTATATCACATTATGGTGACTTCGTGGCCAAGGTAGCTGAACTTTACCCCGATTACAAGGTTCCGAGGTAAATTCCAGTCCTTAGACTCCTGTAAAGTGGTTTTGCAACTGACACTAAGTGCGTATATATATATTTTGCCATAACTATGTGCATATATATATTTTTTGGCCATAACCATGTGCATATATTATGTTTAGGAGTTTGGTTTCCTGATAACAACAATAAGCATCAGAACGTCAAATATGCAGTATCGTGAAACTGATACCCTATGTTATAATTGATAGCAAAACAACAGATGATCAAGCTCAACCTCATCATAACACAGCTACAGCTCACTATACTGAATTATGTTCTCACAAATGGTTCTAACTGATTGTATTTAGTCAGACAGGTTGATTGATTTTAGGGATTAGTCTGTAAATGTATTGCTAAAGCTTACTATAAGTACTTATAAATCCTTCTCCAAAAATTAATGAGAAAAAATCTGTTATTTTACAATAATTACTGTCAAGACATCAAATGGTTCATTGCAACTTCTTTAACTGCCAGCATTCCTTTTACAGTCATTCCATGAACATATGGCTTTGAAATTGCTCAAGCTATTAATTCGTTTATTATTGTGCAGTTTGCCGAAGGATACCCAACCCGGGTTGCTGAGGGAAAAAAACGGCGCGAAGAAGCTAATGAACTTGGGTTTAGAATTCATTCCCATGGATCAAATCATCATGGATGCTGTTGAGAGCCTAAAGAATAAGGGATTTATTTCATAAACGAAACTGAAGGATATGAAACTTATGAAGAACCTACTTATTGTAGATGTGTTGAGGACGTGCAACCTAGATGATATAGTTAATGGATTGTGTTTAATTCTATGTACCAGCCATGCCTCCATGCCATCTGTATGTGTATAAATAAGCAACATTTGAATGTTCATAATCTATTCCGCTGTGGTATTTGCCTAAAATTAAAAGTTAACATAGTCCCAAACTCAGTTCTCATTTACTGGCTCAAGGTGCGGCGGATGGTGAAAAGCTACAATTTTTATTTATTTTCGTATTCACAAACATCAAGCTAATAAGGCGATGACATTAACGTACTTGTAACTCGAGTGATTAGTGAATTTCTGAGGCAAACTTATTCTCATTGGGAAAAAGATTCCAAGATTAAGACCCAGATCCCAAGTTTTTCAATTCCCAATTCATCGTCACACTCTGTCAGCTTCGCTACATTCGAATTTTGACTATTTTTCAGGTCACATACATTTTTGGAGTTTCAGCATTTAATTAAATAAATATTAATATTAATATTTTTGAGCGGTGCCTGTAAGTCGTGGCCCAAAAGACAACATCCCCCAAAACAGAGAAAGAAAGAAGTCCCAATGGCCTCATTTACTTGTGTTCATCCTCTGCTGTTGTTGCTCTGTTCCGTCTTACTGTTTCCAACAACCACAACTTCTTCTGAGAGCAACAAAGTCACAGTTGATGTCTACTATGAAACCCTGTGTCCCGACAGTGAAGATTTCATCGTGAAGGAACTGATCAAGCTCTTTGAAAGTGGGCTCATCTCCATAGTTGATCTCAAGCTCTATCCCTACGGCAACGCGAAGCTTGGATCCAACAAAACCATCTATTGCCAGGTCTCTCTCTCTCTCTTATTGCTTTCTGTTTCTATTAACAATAATTTTAATTAATATTATTGGCCTAATGGCAACATTGAAACTTTTCATGCTCATTGACCATAACTATTTCTATTTCTAGTTCTAGTTCTTGGCTTCTAGGGTGACCTTTGAGCCACTTTTCCGTCAGTAATTTCATTTTTCTCTATAAACTTAATTAAAAAGAAAAAAGAGAGGGAAACCCATTTTTATATGAACATTTTGGTTAAAATGCACTGAAGGAAGAGATGGAGAAAATATTGTATCTAATTTTTTTTATTTTTAAAAAGGGATAATAATGAATTTTTGAGACCATGAATTTTAGAATTTACGTGTATTTAGGTAACTATAAACAGCCACCCAACTGTTAAAAGAGAGAGAAAAAATTAACCTGCCAACTGTTTTGTCTAAATTGCCACTTGTAATCCACCAATTTTGGGCAAAGGCAAAATCTCTGACTTGATCTTTGGCTCTTGCTCTGTTTAACAGGATTCACAAATGGCGAAATTAACGCTTCACTGACAACCTCATAATCATAAAACCCAATAAGCTCTTCTGTTCTTTCTCAGTTTTCTTATTCCTTCAATGGCTTCCTCTCGCACAGAAAGTAGAACCCTTTGTTTTTCTCTTCTCCCCTGCCTCTTGTTGTTTGCTCTGTTCACACCCACTTCTTCTGCTAGAACTCTGCCTTCTGATTCTGGAAAAGTCTCGTTGGCTTTGTACTATGAGTCCCTTTGCCCTTACAGCGCCAACTTTATTGTCAATTACCTGGTCAAGCTCTTTGAAGATGACCTCATCTCCATTGTTGATCTCAAGCTTTCTCCTTGGGGTAATGCCAAGCTCAGAAGCAATGACACCTTCAGTTGCCAGGTCCCTTTATTCTTTCCTTTATTTTTTCTACTTTTAAATTTGTATCTGGGTTTGCTGAAAGGATGCCATTTCATGGACTGGTCCTCTAAATGATTGCCTGTAAATTGGTGGAACATAATAAATTTCTTAACCATTGTAGTTCAACCCAAGTGATTGTCCTTCACTTCTTGCATGTGGGTTTTGTCTAATCTTGCTTAATTTGTAGCTTCCGAGAGTTGTAGATGTAATTGATATGAATTTCAATTGCATTCAGACTGGTTGACTTGTTTGTGATGGTTGCAGCATGGTCCATCTGAATGCTTATTAAACACTGTGGAAGCCTGTGCCATCGAGATCTGGCCTGCACTGGTAAGACTTGATCAAGCTAGATATAAAGAAACTTCCCAAGTACACATAATTTTTGGCATTCCTGCAAAGTATGTCATGATGCAATGATGTTAGTTATCGAAATATTCTGGTTGACAGTTATTGTCTTATATTAAAACACGCTATGCACTAGGCGTTGGTGGTTTATCCTTCTAGATTTGTTTAATGAATTCTTCGTGAAATTTGCTTGGATTCATTATGTAATTAGTTTTCAATCTTCTTGGATAGTTCAGTGTCCTTGCATATATATGATAGGGTTGTTGGTTGGTTTCACAGAAACGTATTCCAAGTCAAATGCCAGTTATGGAGTGTTGTTGGAACTATAGAAAGTAATCCTCAAGCTGAAATGCTAACATTTGGTTCACTGTCACCTTGATGCAGAATGATCATTTTCCTTTCATTTATTGCATTGAGAGTTTGGTTTACGAGCACAAGTATCCCCAGTGGGAGTCATGTTATGAGAAACTGGGATTGGATTCAAAACCTATTGCTGAATGCTACAGTAGTGGACTTGGCAAAGAGGTCAGTTTTTTTAGCTTATTAATCGTTCATAGAATTCAAACACGCTCTTGTAATGCATCTATTTATTTTATTGTATCTTAACAAGAATCAAACCTTGTTGGAAAACTTTTTTGACATTCCACTGATTGTTAATCATGCCATTTTTTGAAACCTCTGTTATTCTGTTGAGAGGGACAATACAAACCCCTTTTCTCTTTTCCTTGTTTGGTGTTTGTGATTTTTAATGAAAGCAAAAAAAGGAACACAATATAAGTGGAATTATTCTCTGGCAGCTTGAACTACAATATGCAGCTGAAACCAGTGCTCTCCAGCCTCCACATCAGTATGTGCCATGGGTAGTTGTGGATGGACTGCCAATTTATGAGGTTTGTTTCCATCTCATGATTAGATTTCCTAATTCCATTTCAATTGCCACCAAGGTTGGGTTATGCATATATGTTTTTAAGTATCTGGACTACTGATGGTTCTCTTTTGCTTCAATAGAGTAGAGTATTGTCAAGTTTTTAATTCTATCTGTTCTTTATATATATTAAGAAAAACAATCTTCTATGATGTTTTCCCCAACTTGATTGACTCATAGTAGTGAGTTTATTGTTCTATTATCGGGATCTTCAAGAAATGACATTTCTTCTCCCTTTGCAGGACTACGAAAACTTTCTGACCTATGTCTGCAATGCTTATAATGGCACCGCTGCCCTCAAGGCTTGCAGCAAACTATCCCTTAATACCATCCCAAAGGCAAGCACTAAATCTACCCTTTCAGTTGGTTGTAACGAGGGAAAGATGCCAGCGTTATTCGGAAGGATAAGATCAACCCTAACATCGTGGATGCGTCAGATGAACATGGCAATTTGGATATAGATGTCTCGCAATTCCATATCCATTTTAATCCAGTCATCAATGGTATGGTGCAGCTTTTGCTCGTATTTCCCGTTTCCAGTAGATTGCAGTTACTTGTGAGTTGGTTGGTCCCGAACAAAGAGACTTAATGTGCTGGTAATGTGTCTTTATCTTTACTATGAACAAATAAATATACAGGAGCAGTAGTTTATAAAAATTAAAATGTAGTAGCTAGTAGATTTTAATAAATTCAAAGACTTTGTTATGGTTGGTGGGGCTTGCAGTAAACCTTGCCTTTTCCATTTCCAATTCCAATTAAAACAGCTGACCCTGTCATATTAAACAAGGTGTGCTTCTCAGTGCCAAGTTTTGTTTTGGGTGCACTGAGGGCCCATTGGGCTTCATGGGCTAACCGTGATAGCGTTTGTAAACAATACCAACTCGCTTGAAAACTGGATTGGATTGGATTCACAGGTACCATGTAATCCCAAGAGACTTCCCAACTATGCCTGCCTTAAGAGAAACACAATGGGAAAATGGTTGTCAATTCACACCCTGTAATAATATACTAAACTCACATACACTACACTGATGCTAGGACTCGAATCCAAAACCTTATTTGGAAAAATAATTACTCCAAATAACTACACGAGTAAGTTCTTAGCAAATTCTCACATCCCATAAACCCAATGAATCTTTCCATAGCTCTCAAAAATATTGTATGGTGGGCTTCCACCACACAATAGTTTACACTATAAAACCCCCTCAAATTTGAACAAGTTGTCACACTTCCAAATAAGAAGCAACAAAATGGCTATAAAAAAAAAATATATTCATTCATTTAGAGAGACTGATTGGATGTTAGCTGACTGATTGGGCTGCAGATTAGAAGATAAAGGAAGCGAAAGGAGAAACGACTCTTTTGTTTCGGGTCTACATAACAAAATGATTCTTCCAATAACCATCAAGTTAAAATTCCAATTAGGGCTCCACAGAGTCGCTATCAAATCAATGGACATCAAATAATTACCCATCAAGTGAATGAAAGGTCAATGATGATATATCTGTTCATCCAATCAAATGAAGCCACACAGTTACCACTCCAATTTGCTTCTTTAATTTGTCTTCTACTACACGGGTCAAACCCTTAAGTAATAAGTAGGTCATTGACTTCCTGCCCTAGCCACCAATTTTAATTTCCTTGTTCTCTAAGTTACATCACAGTGCAACTCAAACTTTGCTTCGTGAAGTTACCTATGTACAAACAATTTTGCTAAGATTAATCACTGACGTAACCGTAGACGACGGGTCAAAAACCAGCCATACATATTATACGGCGATTGACTGTCGTTAGAACAACTCTTTTGAAATTTTAAACTTCTAAAATTCTTTTGTTTAGGGAAGTATCCAAGGCTGAAGAAAGAGCAGTGGATTGGACAGTGTCTGTGAAGAAATCTACGCTTCATATATCCTGTCGGAGACTCAAACTACAGTTTGTCAAACAAGGTAGAAGGGACCCATCTTTATCAGTATATCACTGAATAGGTCGTATCTTTGCACAAGCTTATTATTCTCTACCACAACTCTTGGCTTTTCTGTGGCTTTGGCACCCTCCTAATCCTATGCATCGATGCAAAGGGCCACCACCACCGCCCAACTGTAGAAAAGAAATCACCAGTATTTGACAAAGCCATTGCCCCATCATTCAATCTTTCCTTCCTAG